AATTCATCATATTCTTTTTTTTTTTTTTCGTTCTCTAATTAGCCCCAAAGGAACCGAATTTGGATATTCGACATTTTGCGTTGAATGACTATAAACGACGTATCATTTTTCAAACTGTTGCCACCAAATATGATTGCTTTGAATTATGTTTAAAGAAATTAAATAATGAAGAATCTGCATGAATGTTTGCATGTTTTTCACAAACAACGGTACTTACAGCCGTCAAATTTTACATAACGTAGTCCTCCACCCTAGCATGGTCACCTGGAAACTCGAATTTGGAATTTGTTTTATAGTTTGTAAAATTTTAACGAATTTTTGATTAACAAACTCAACGATCTCAAAGCGAGGAGTTCCAACACTGTACAGAGAAAAAAAAAAAAAAAAAAAAAGAAAGAAAACCTTCATGTCCAGTGCGCGACATTGTCTATCGGAAATTCTAAAGATATCCTACTTTTAAATATTTTGTGATTTTGCTGTTGAGTCTAGTTTTATGTGGTTGTATATGGCGTAAGTGCATTATAGAAAATGATGATTAATAATAAAGCTAAAAAAACAACAACAGAAAAAAGGATTAGTAGAAGTGAGTGTAACAGCGGACTGGTAGACTGCGAGCTCAGCGCAAGCGTAAGAAATCTTAACAAAACCATTCTGGGAGATCGTTAAAATCTGAAACTTTTCATTTAAAAAAAAAAAAAAAAAAAAAAAAAAAAAAAAAAAAAAAAAAAAAAAAAAAAAAAAAAAAAAAAAAAAAAAAAAAATTGTTTTGTTTAGTAACTAGTAAGAGCGTCGATCTTTTATAAATTTATAATGAGTGCGTATCCATTTAAGGTTCTGAAGTAACTTTATTAAATTTGAAACGAATATCACTCTTGTAATAAAATTTGCGAACTGATTTTTAATCACAAAAGACGAAAAATTAAGCTTCAAATTACGCCAAAAAATTGTGGCTTTTCAAAGACGATAAACAGACTACCTTTGAGAGCATTTCCTGAAAATTCATAAAACACAAAATATTGTTAATATAATAATAATAAATTAAAAAAAAGAAATGTAAAAAATTAAAAAGTAAATAAAAATGTCTGAAGGTGTTTAGATCTTAATGATCGCCCAAAAGCATTTGTTAATTTTTTTGTATGCTCTCGCTCAGCCTGGTAACCTATTTCTTTTCGTCTTTTTAACGTTATTATTAAGCATCATTTTTGTCGCACTTATCCCATATACAGTTCAACAGCAAAACTGCATTTTAAATTTTAAAAGCATCATGGTAGCATATGTTTAGTATTCCGATGGAGTGGCATACATTTTTTTCTTTTTTTTTTTTAGTCTTTTCTCAGTTTTTTTTTTTTTCTCAGTTTTCGCAGTAAGAAAGCTCCCCAAACTCCTTTTTTTTTTCCTTTTATTATTATTTCTCTTTTAATATTGTCTTATGCATAGCAAATGTCATTAAGTACAGTGTATGCTCATGTAGTACTATTTGTATTATAGTAATTGTATTTGTGTTATACTTTGTATTGTATTTGATCTCTTGTTAATTCTTAATGTACTCTTAACAGAGTACAGGTAAACGTTAATATTAAACAATTATTAACGTTTTGTACATTAAATTTATTTATTAAATATCACGTTCTTCGGACTTACGCCACATAAAATTCAATTCAACCGCAAATTCCCAAAATATTTCCGAACAAGACATATTTAGAATTTCCGATAGACAGTTTCGCGAGCTAGAAATAAAAATGTTTGATTCCGTACAGTGTGGCAACTGTTCGCTTTCAGACTGTTAAGCTTTTTAATGAAATATTTATTACTCATAAAATATGAAAAACAGAATTTGTAATTCAAAATTCGGGCTTCCATGTGCACAGGTTCGACTTTAGGACTACGTTATTCAGAATTTGATGGCTCTAGGTACCGTCGTTTTTCAGAATGCGAGGAATATATATATATACATGCAGATTTTCCTTATTTAATTTCTATAAAGACTTTACAGGGCCATAATATTTGGTGGCAACAATTTGGAATGTGATATACTGTTTATAGTGAACCAACGAAAAATTCCATTTTGAGACTAATATCAGGCTAAAAAACATAGCGTGTAATATTATTTTTATACACAATAAATTAAATGGTAATTGGATGCAAAGTTACTGAACGTTTTCCTCTGAAACTCAGCTCGTAATGAAACTGTAAAATAAGAGAATGAATACTAAGCCAGCATAGATACGTATTACAATTCCATAGAATTAAGATGTATACCTATGTACAAGCAGATCCAAAAGTTTTCGGCTGAATGTACTTCTAAAAGAAACAGAACCATTGAACTTTACATACTCAGTAAACTTATGCCGCTGAAAAAGGCAATAAGAAAATTTGCCTTCAAAATGTACCCATAACGCTCTTTGCATTAAATCGCTTTCTATGAAGGTCAGATTTCAGTTTGGAGAATAGGTAATAACCACTAGGAGCTGAACTTAGGTTAGTGTTCAAACTCCTTGCTGTTTTTGAATAATACTGCGTTGCTACTTTTAAATTCCCGAAAGAAGTGGGATACCCATCTTGCAGAGACTTTGGTTATACAGAAGGCGCAAAACAGTTATTTTAGACAGATTCACCTGACGTTTTCTCCAATATTCCCAATAGTCAGCCTTCACAAGAATCATCTTTTACGGATTCTCGACCATACGGGATTTTTTGACGCTTTCTTTCATTGCAGAAGAGGAAAGAAACAAACTTCATTTACATGACCTAAGCGCTGTTTTATTTCTTTTGAATTAAGACCTTCTTTAGTAGAAAATTAATTACAGAACTGTGCTCAATTTCAAATATTTCAGAATGGTACTACTATCTTTCGGTTAACAGTAAAAAAGGAAGACATGTGATTTTTCTAACGAAACTTATAAATTTATATTTATTCATTTTTGGCCTTTATGCATCTGCAAAAGGAATGTATTGTCAAAGAATTTCTAGCATATGAGACTGAAAATTTTTGAAACTACCTACATATATCGTCTTTTAGCAGCACCAGCATAGCGGTTTTTTAAAGGACGAAATTCGCTGCATTTTTCACCAGACTAAGCGTTCGTTGTCGACTCTCCAGCTCATTTCATATAAAAATGCATAAAAAAGGTTTAGTGTTTAGTCACTTTAACCCTTTTCCACTGCTCAGCTCTATACAGTAATCAAAGAAAATGCGGATATTCAGAAAGTATTTAGTCATTTTAACCCTTTTCCAATGCTCAGCTCTATACTATAATCAAAGAAAATGTGGATATTCAGAAAGAATACGTTTAACATTACGTTTAAAAATGTAGGATAAATATGTTAGAGTAAAAAGCTTTAACGAGGATAAAATACTCGAAGCTCGTTTGTTGCAGGAGATGATTTTATAGACCAATTTAAAGGAAAAACATCTCATGTTTAATTTAAATAAGCTCTTGGTTTGGTTTGTTTAATTATAGCAAAGCACTCGAGGGTTACCTGACTAAGGGGTGGGATGCCTTCGAGAAGGACTTTCTAAGGGAAACTCGTTCGTTTACACGATACTCATGGAATTTAGATAAGGACGAAGCCAAAAAAATAGCACGCATGTCTGTTTAGCCACCGAAGCTCAACACGAAATGAACTATCACTCTTTTATAACTTTTAAAAAATTTTTATTAGGTTTAATATGCAATAATTTACAGTAAAATTCACCTTAAGTAATTGTTTGAATATAAGATACTCGTATCTAAAAAATATGGTATACTATGGTTTAAAAAAACTTAAGAACCTAGTATGGCTTAAAAAATAATTCTACACATGAGAATGCTTTACATAATAAAATTTATAAATTGAAGCTCTTTCATAAGAAAGGTAATTAAATAACTGGAATATGATATTTTGATGCAAAAGCGAGCAAATATGTTTGTTTTTTTTAACGAAAGAGTAAAGAGATATGTGATAAATTATTTTAATGTTTTTAAATGTCAGGCTACGCCTTTAAGACAGTTTTGTTTTTCAGAAAAGCATTTTATTATAAGAGACACCACGGAATCATAAGTTTCACAAGACAATGATTCCTTTTGATTGGGTGTTTGAATATTATCAGAACTAATCAAAAGTAAGTAAGAAAATGCATCTGCACAGACAATGCTATTCATTATTACAAGTATCGACTTCCAAATACACTTTCTCAACGAGGTCAAAGTTTAGTAAGCCAAACCATAATCATTGTCGGCAGATGCCGATTTCGGCAAAGATAAATTATTCTATTGCCTGTTCATTCACTTTCATTCCTCGTTGAACTTTAAAACTGAAAGCTCATTCGTTATTTTTCTCCAGTTCTGAAAACGATTACTTACTAGCAGCAATTTTCTCCACTGATTACGCAGATATAAATCTCCTTTATCTAATTTTCTTCAATTCCCAAGACGGCGACCCGAAAGCATATCCTGCTTGTTGGAGACATTTTAGGGAGGGATGGTCGTGGCACAATATCCGCTAAGTGCTAGAATTCTTGCAACTTCCTCTCGGGATAAAAGAAGGGGGAAAATACTTCTGCGTACGCTATGTACCAAGACATCAAAAATAGGCTAGCAGTACTTTCATTCATAATTTTCGACCTAAAACTGGGTTTTGAATATCCGGAACGTTAACCTTTTTAGAACTTTAAAAGAGAAAGTCATGCAAATTATTCAATACCGTGTTTAAAAAAAAAAAAAAAAAAAAAAAAAAAAAAAAAAAACGTTAATACGAGTATAACAATGAGGGATGCCAAAAGGGTTGGACTCTTCATGATTGGAATACGAATTTTATATTACTTACTTTACAACTTAAGAACCGTCTAACCACGATTAGGCAACCAGTTTTACACAGATTGCCTAATTCTTCCCTAAAAAAACTGGAAAAGTGGCAACCAGTCAAGCCATGATTTCCAAAAAGAAAAAGAAGCCAAGTCAACGCAAGTCATACCCATTGAGATACTTTTTTTAAATGCAATGATCAATAAATCTATAAAGATCCTACAGTAGAATCCCGCTAGAGCGAACCCTCGTATGTAACGAATGAACCCTTTTTAGTGCTGGCCAAGCCAGTTTATTTAGGCTTAGTGTTATTTTACTAAGCTGGCAATATAGCAAATACATATTGCTGGCCCTATAGCAATTACTTAAGCTGGCCAATTTACTTGAGCTCTAGCAAACTTCTGAGCATATGAAAATCGATTGTAACTAATTACAAAGATGTCTTTGACAGGAACTTTTTTTTTTCATCTTTTATAATATTTTTCAGAATTTCTGCGATTTGTAAACTGACAAATTATTAACCCCTAAAATCATTCATGTTTAAACTATTATATATTATTAGGATAGAGGAAAACATCTTTACGTTGCAGTTCTATTACCTTCAACCCTCCTTTCTCTGTATTCTAAATAAAGACCATGAAAACATACCTTTTTTAGAAAATCAGTACACACAATAATCATGTCTAAATGTCGTATCACACGTTCAAAACAATTCCAACGAACAACTTTTTAGTACAATTTTCCTGCTTTGTCATATGATATAAAAAACCAATCAGCAGGAATCACTTTGGGGTTGCCGTGTCAAGGGAAATTCGATGCTGATAGCTGTTGAAAACGAACTTAAAATTTTTTGGGAGAGGAAAGAAAAATCGTGCGTGATAAAAACAGACAGAAAAATTGTTTGTCCGAAACAAATGGATATATGATAGCAGCCTTATATTGCATCTCACGGTAACCATCGGGCTGCATTTCTGATTTCATTCAAGTTCTTTAATTGACTTGCAAGGCAGAGCTTTATTTCAGGCTAATCTGTATAGGAATTCTGAAAGTTTGGTTGTTCAAGTGAATAGATTTTTTGTAAGAGTGGGGCTGTAGAGGTTATCTTTCAGGGAATGGAAAATTTTCCTCTTTTATTATTCCAGTATTTAAAAAACTCTCCAAGTTCAGTACCGTGAATAATCGAGGGGAGGAGGGAGATTAAAATATTCTACTTTAAGCTTGCATGGGAGGGGGTCTGCACATTCAGAAAGAGATACCATTTTAACAGAAGAGTCTAAACGGTGTCTTTCCTACAAAGTAATTTATCATATACGCAATTCAACTGATGTTTAATTTCTCAAAACGTTTACAACTCAGCATATATTTATCAAGCAATTAAACATGTTACCGAATCATTTATTTCTTCTTATCAAAACCAAGCGATTCATACGAGTAAAGCATCTATAAGGTAACATTTTATATAATGTACAGTATTACTTATCAGTGCTGTTAAAACACAATCAAGCTAATTGTTGCCGTATATCAGTTTGCATAACAATGCATTCTACGTTTTACTGTATAGTTAAAACCTTGGCAAGATGGTCTTTATTTACACTAACAAAGAAATGTCATCACTACTAGTAAAATAACCGAAAATTTACACAATCAGTTTTATTAATTTTACTCTGAGAAAATCTAGAAACTATATTTTACAGTAAAATGCTCGTAAATTAATCATTTTATTACATGCCATGACATTGTGCTTGAACGCCTGCTTTGTTAAAAAATGCAGAAAGTCAGATATATTGTTGTTATGACATAAAATTCAGAAAACAGACTAGTGGGCTCCCCCCTTTTTTTTGTTCTATCACTTTAAAAGTTTTAATTTCAAGGCTAAGGGCTAAAAAAAAAAGTTATAATGAATATTTTTTTTTTTAATTTTCCAAACATTAATTTTTGAAGTAAAATAAAATTACCTTAAAAAATGAAATATGTCATGAATTTATAGTGTTGAGCATATGTGCGCTACTTTGTTTTTTAGCTAATTAGTGTAAAACATTTGGATTTTGTCCAAATTATTATTATTTTTTTAACTTTTATTTCGTCTACAACATTTTTCTTACATTCAGTTTACACATATGTATAAATTTTTCTATTGCCTTTAAATATTGCTTAAAATTACAACTTTATAAATTTATGTACATTTCAAATTTTAATTCTTAGTTTATTATATTAGCTTTCCTAATTTTACTTTGGGGAATTATACGAATTTTAATAGGAGTATTCCTCTTTCATTCTTTATATACGCATATATAGATAAATTTCAAAGTATTTAATTTCTTATTTTCTGAGTCATATGCATTAAAACAATTTAAAGGAATGATAAATACGAAATTAAAAAAACTGTATTTATTTCTAATTTTATCACCCCTTTATTATATGCAGCAGACACTCAAGAACTTCACTTGCAAATATCTCAGTTATACATCAATACGAAATTAACAATCCATAAACATTATTTTGACTTAAAATTTGGAAACATACATATACAACTGTGATTTACGTCTCTTAAAAACTGGAATTCAAAATGCACCAGACGTTCATAATTCTTACAAACAGACTCTCCCACGGTAAAAGAGAATCCGATTTCCTTCCCTCTTACAAAAATTAGGTGTGTTTCAAAATGAAATAGCAGGTGCCGACGATTTTATTCGCACGAGAAATCCGCAGCAATACAGAAACCCATTTCTGTTAGAAAAAATATGTAATGTCGCAGAAGTTCCCTTAAACATATGGTGCCAACTTCCGGACATCGCAGTCACGTGATGCGAGCACAGGAAACACTTTGTTAAGCATCTTGCAAGGTTAGAAGATGGTCGACCAGCTGGTAGAGAATACACAATGCATCTCCGCAGACGATTTTCACGAAAATCTAGTCATGGAAAGCCGGAGCTTCCCCTCTGCACAAACGACAGGTGCGACCTCATTGTAGTTTACACAGATAGACTCGTAATATATTTGTTTACATAACAAATTTCAAAAACAACTCTTATATAGGAAGGTATAGCTTTTTCAGCTATTTTTAAACTTATGAATACAGATGGAATAACACTGCTTAAAAATTTTGAATGTGAATCCAAAGATTCAAAATTAAATATTTTATCGCTGTCATTATGAACCGAATTAATTTTTATATAAATTATTGAAATGAGATGTTTATGTCTTAAGAATATTTAACATTTTTACAAGCCTCATAAAACGTCCGTTTTCTTTATTTAGGGAATAACAATATTTTTTCGATAAAATGAGGTCAAATCTGAAATGGATCTCCGGGGCCAAGGATATTATTCATTAGATCAAGAAATAACCGCTCAATATCCAGAATATTACTTGCATAAACATGAAGATTTCGAAGCAAGAAGATAAATAAATGAAAATTATTTTATACAAGAAATATAAGGATTGAATTTAAAACATTTTAGCTGCATAAATATTAAATTGTTTAGAAAAATCTCACATTTGAAGTCTTTATTTTGAAGGGTTTCACATTAACGTTTAAAAAAAAAAAAAAAAAAAACCCGATGCTACTTCGTGAACCTCGTCCAAAATTTATTGCAAACAAGAACTTATGTTATAGTTTTGAGATCTTATTCTCAAATCGTTCCTCAATTACCGAAGTGATAGTTTTCTGAAGGTTATTTCAGAAGATCTAACTACTTCCATAATCTGGAATTTCTGAACGTTATTTCAGCAAATCGAACTGCAGCCAAAGAAGGCTCAAAAGCAGCTTTTCTATTCCAGTTTGGAGCCAAGAATACACTGGATTTGCATGCAAACAGTATTTCTATGTAATTTAAATGCAACTACTAAATTAGCTCTATGGGGGAAAAAAAAAAAAGAAAAAAAATCGTTAAATTGCAAGTTCTTTTTTGCTTAATTTCGGTTGGAAAAATAAACAGCATGCAATCTTCATACGAAAATCAAGTTTTTATGAAAAGTACACACAACACTTGATACGTAGGGTTATTGACGCCAGTATAAAACACATTGGAGTGTAATTTGACATCTCTAAAAATGTAACATCTATTTCACACGCTATATTTATGAGATAAACTGAATTTTTATTTATAGGAATAGAGATTTTTGCATTCACAACAAAGCAATGGCAATATGAGTGCTTTATAATAGTATGGTAAATGCAATCGATACGAATGTTTCTCTGAAGTCTAATCCGTACACTAATCAAGCAGCGTGATAAAATTTTACCGAACGTTTATTATTAACATTTACGATAGTCTTGGAAACATTGTTGTAAAAATGTCTTCAGTAAAATTCAATTTCAACTTTTTCTGCTTTTTAGAAGGCACTTTTACGTCATTTATTGTGTTCAGTTTCTAGTCTGGTTTGTTTGATTATGGCAAAGCACTCGAGGGCTATCTGCCCAAGGGAAAGAATGCCTTCGTGGAGGTCTTTATTAGGTAAATTGGCTCTTATACAAGTTACATAAAGGGGAAACCATGAAAACGCCCATGCAGCTAGCACATTCGCCACGATTCAAACTCCAGAATGAATTACTAGTGTTTAGCGACTTTTCAGCCGCCCGTATACTTTCTAAACCGCCCCTCGCTTCTTTTTGATCCATTTCTCATTCCATCCTAAATATAAATTTCTGATCAACATGCTCCTTTATAAGCAAAAATTGAACAGTTAAAAAATAACTACTTTTATAATGCCAGTTGTAAAAACCTTCAGATAATGTTAAAGACAGACAAAAAGTCATATATCAAAACAAATCTTTGAGTCTAAATCAATTTAAAATTCTTGGTTTAACACAGTGCATTTGCGGATTATTGCTTTCAAAATAGATCGCTAAGCACTATGCTGCATTTATCTAAACCGTTCAACTGAAGGTGGTAAATGAGGATAAAAAATACTGCTCCAAAATTCAGTTTTTATAATTCTATTAATTTAGAAGCTGATTATATGTAGTAGGTCAAACGCGGTTAGCTTATTTCAAGATACTTATATTTCTAAACAAAGTATTAAGAAAAACTTCTTTCAGCTTGACCAAAATTCCTCAGTCCTCTCCAAATGTAATCAGAAACTCGATCATCATTCAGAGGATCTGAAAAAGCAATTGCTTTAACATCCTGTAGATAAACTCGCAGACATTTTGATCCTCTTCTATAGATAAACTCGCAGAAATTTTGATACTCCCTTTGGATGGATCGAAGTATTTTGGCAAAAATCCAACAAGAACACACTATTCGTCAGTATTGAAAAAACAATTAAAAATATGAGTTATTTTAAATATTATTTTTGAAAAATGTGACAAATATGGGAAATAACTTTCTGGAATCAAAAAATGCTTCAGTGGTTCATTGAAGACCATTGAAACTAGAAAGAAAAAAATTGGGAATAAAGAAATGTACAATGAACATGAAATTTAACACAATAAAGTGATATCTTTTCTGTTTGTGAAAATATTAATGTTGTATTAACTAATTTTTCTCCTTTTTGTCAAATGTAGCAATATATTACTTTGTAATCTTACTATTACATACAAAATTAATACGTGAAATACCAAAATTTCAGTTCTGTCCTCAAATTATAAAATTTTACATTTTTTTGTTTTTTGGTCTAGCCTAAGATAACCAGGAAGGATTGGAATAACGATACTAATTTCAGAATAATGAACCTTTGTAAACAACAAAATAATTTGCCAGCGAATCACATCAATAATCAGACTTTATTAGCTAAAGTGTGATACATTCATAACAAGCTGTAGATACTTGGTCAATGTGGCACTTAAAAAATAGACAATAGAATAAAAATACAAAAATATCTAGTCTGAATAATATGTACCAAAAAATACAGCTACTTTTGGAATTTTAAATTACAAAGGCACACGATTCCTCTAGTCACAATATAATCACCTATTTTATCACACAGTAAACTCCCAAGTCTATGTATTTACAGTTTTTTGCAGACAATTAACACACTTTAAAATACAATTAAAACCCTAAATTAAAAAAAAAAAAAAAATGGACCCTTCAAATTCAAAACCAGCTGTTTGCTATAGAGCATATATGGAATTCTTTATGAACATCAAATGATATGAAGAATAAATGCATGGAAGAACATGAAAATTTTCTTATTGGGATGGACCTGACACAAGGCACTTGACATAACACATGGCAGTAAAACATGCATCTTATAATCACAAAGATGATTTTTTCTGAAACAAGCACATAGGAACCAAAGTGTAGAATATCAGTCTGTGAGACACATAAAGGTCTCATTGCACACACTTCACACTAAATGAAATCTAATTATAGAAGACAATTCTGTAGTTCTTATGCATGTTAAATTAATGCTATGAAATTTAAAAAAACTTGAAAAAGATTTAATTTAAACATTTATTGGTTAACATTGCCAATAAATAAATCAACTCATCAAAATAATATTAAACTTTGGTATGATTTTTAAAATTAAATAAATATTCGGTAGCTGAAAAATTTGAACATTTCATGTTTAATGACCCCCCATATGGAAATTAACATCATGAACATTTTTGTAAGTAATTGCATGATTAAAAATAAATAATTAAATTAATATCACACCCTTCAAAAAAGGGGTACGCACATATTGCACAGTCAGTCATTTGAAAAAAACCTTTTTCTTAGTTTTTATATATCAGATCCAGAATAATGAATTATTTATCTCCTGTAAAAATGAAAAACAAATTGAGCGCAATTTTTTTCTCTATAAAAATATGAATATATAATTGTTCATGGAAAAGGCACAATATGATTGTGGCAGCATTTCTTAATAAGATGACAAGATGAGTTGTCTTTACACGGAGCACAAATGTGCAAGCACCAACTTCAGTAAAGACAACGTAGGAAATGTGTAACTACTAAATGTTCAAGTTAATTTAGCTGGTTTAGAACTTTAAACATTGTCCATATTTTTCCCGTCAAGTTTTCTGGCGAAGTCGTTGATTACGTCTCGGAAATTCAAAGGATCCAAATTCTTTGACAGCAAGTCTAGAAGAAGCCAGTCTCCAAGTTTGCATTTGTTGATGATTGTCTCAAGGTAATCTTGATTGGCAAGGCGAGCTCTTGAGCGGGTGACCATGAGTCGAGATTTGGGCCAAAATACAATAACTGCTCTGTATACTAATACTAAACCAGATAAAATAGCAAGAATAACAAACCAGAACCACAGGAAGACATAAATTTTCTCATTGATGATATTGATAGGTAGAATGCACATAGCATCGTGACGTTGCACATCGCCAGAGGAACCGTATCTGTGGAAGGTACATTTGGTGAGACGAGGGAAGACTTTGATCATGGGGTCGTAACGAACAGACCAGTCCCAGCCTGTGAACTGAATTACTTTTGAACCGTATGTAGAAAACTCTCCACCAAGGAAAGCATCCATTAAAAAGATTTGACCAACAACATTAACGAAATTCATAATTTCAGCAACAGCATAGCTCATGAAATAAACACTGTGGTTATTTCAAGTTTGATACCATGTACTCTACAAGAAGTTTACGATTAGCTAGCTTGGTATCTTCTGGTAAAATTGGTGAATTCAAACCCAGAATCAAGTTCTTTATTCGTCCACCTTCCATTGCCTTCCAAAAATATCTTGGTGTATAAAAAAGAATAGCCTGCAAGAAAAGTACGAAACACACCCACTGATAGTAGGCATGGTAGACACGTTTTTCTCCTGGAGTATATTTATCTACACCTGGATATGGTACCTCTTCTCCAACTTTCTTATACCATGCATCTGGCAAACTAAACGTTGTATGTATCCAACAAAATGTGTCTAGTAAGTTCGAAGGTATGTCATCTTTAGATATGCAGTCAATAGGATCTCCAATGTACTGCCTGCCCGTAACAAGTATGCTGAAAGCAACAAGGATCACAGCAGTTGCCTTGTAATGAAGGCGGAACACATTGTTATCAATAGTTGTTGCATCGGTTTTGAAGAAACTTTTCAAGCCCGCGAACAAATCCATGGCAGTCTAACTGTAAAGGAAAAAAAAAAATACAATATAGTTTTTCTGTAAAACACTAATTTTTTAATTTTTCTTTTAATAGTCATTAAAGAACCAGTTAAAGCATTTTGTGAAAAACATTACATTTTCATATATACTAGATGAAAGCCAAAACGATAAAGTAACCTTTGGTTGTATGGTAATTTATTACGAGTAATAAAAATCGAATCTCATGTATTTAAATTAAATGCACATTTTTAATATAGAACAAATATGAATGGAACAAAACATATTTCTAATCAGTCATGGATATTGCTTGATTAAATGCTTAATACACACACATTTTTAGTTTTATGAAAGTTCCCAATGGTCCCTACAATATATTTAATGTGAAAAATTACAGTACTTTATATTATCGATATTTTAATAAAATAAATGCTATAATAAACTTTGCCCACATTTATTTAATAAATACTTGATGGACAATACGTATATTGACTTGGTCCACAATATGTTTAATAAATATTTACCAGACAAATAAAAATAAGTTTTTATGAATCAATTTGAGTAACTTTTAAATTTTAAGTAGAAACTGAATTTAACTGATGCAGATCTGGAAGTGGTAACCATGACTGCCAGGAAATAAAATAACTAGTGTTCTACGATCCCGAGCTTAGCGCTTGCAATGTTGAAAAACATCCTTCTGTGCTCGGTGCATTTTTCTAAAAGTTAGATGCATTGCATAACAAATATATGCACACCAAATTCTATTAAAATGACATTACTCGATTTTGTTTGTTACAAACTTTAAAAAAATATATTTCACTAACTACATTACAAATATTCATATGTCGCATGCCAAGTACTTCAAACAGACTAAGACCTCAATCCAAAATTCCCCAAATAATGCATCCGAAGGTCAAAAGTTCCACTTCAGCGCTTACGTGTCGGTCTCAAAATGCTTCGAAAACTTTCACTGTGCGACATGAAAATGTGAATGTGCAAAAAAATAAAGCGCGAGGGTGAGATTCGGTCACGCATGAACTATACTGTTTATAGCTGACCACGAATATATCGTGCCAATGTTGAAAGGACAGTGGGTATTTTTCACAAGTTCCGTAACGAAACCTTCGGGAAGCATTTCGAATATTCCCCCCCTCCCCGTACCTGTTAACTAGGTCTTTCCTCATTTTTAAATCAAATACTGATTTACGAAATGATTCCGTTACTTCTTTTTTTTTTTTTTTTAAAGGAACTGTAATGTTCTATTCGTCACTTTCATCGCCATCACGGGTGACAGCATTCCATGAAAATATAAGTAACTCAATTCATAGAATGAAACTAGAAATACAAAAAATATAACACCAACGCATTTATATATATATATATTTTGGACCAAAAACTTCGCTAAATCATATTTCTCGAAATTAATGATTGTGACCCCAAACTCTATTGATAAAAAATTGGCACTGTATGAAAACTTTTGTTCATAATGTGTCTTTTGAAAAATACCGTTAGCTCTTGCCCAAGCCTTTCACATTACATATTGGAGTTAAAATAACAAAACAAAAATTCTTATCAAGTCGTTTCCTGTTATGAAAGGAAGCGAGTAACTTCAAAATAACAACGATCAGGTTTGTCAGTAGCGGTTCTATGAAGTACACAAAAATTCAGACAATATGTAGTAAACGCTACAAACTCATGAACTGCTAAAATCCTTTGCTGTGGCCTATAAACATATGCATGAGTTCAAAAACATTCTTCACAATATAATAACAGCATTCTAAAGTATATGTAGCGAAAAATTTTGCTTTGTGACACAATTAATACATATTTATAATTGTTAATAACGACACTATTATCTTCAGAACTTTTTTCTCTTTTGAGAGTAACTACATGATGTGGGTAGCGATACTAAATTGAGGAAATACTAAGCCCACTAATACTTTTGCATGATCATTCAAATGTGTGTGGAAGTCTCATTCCATATAAATTTAATTAAATACGTGTAGTAGAATTCCAGTTACCTGTCATTTAACTGGATTAGATTATGGTCGAAAAGCTGTGAATATCAGTTGAAAATCAACTACAGAAAATTGATTATAACAATAGTGATTAGTTTTGATCGTGGCAAACAAACGGGAGCCTACCTTGACTTTATACAAGACTGTCTTGAGGAAATTCGTCCATATTCACATTACACGTGGGAAAAACAGAAACCAACAACAGATGGGAACTGTATCGAACAGGTTACCAATGTAGAGATCTTACTCATTAGGCCACTGGCATAAGATAAATTCGTTACAAATCAGGGGAATATGAACTTTATTTCTTTTGAACTGTCAGACTTTTTTTTCACTTTTAACTCGACATTCTTTTTAAAAGAGAATGTCAAGTTAAAAAGAGAAAAAATACACCAGACTAAGATAGGAATGGGTAAAGAAATGTAACACAGCTAAGAACAATGATGTCAAAAATAGCATGATAACTGTTACAAGTGGATTGATAAAAAAGATGACATCTGACGTGCGTCTCAAAGCCAAGATCCAAGAACTGCGGTTCACTTAGTAGCGTTACGGGCAATATATCTTGTAAGCGCAAGCAAGGACTTAATTCTACAAATGAGAAGGGCAATAAGTGTTCGGATGCATACTGACTTGGCATAAATTTGATGAATGCCAAACTTATTTATCTCATCAAAAGAAAAGCGAACAACTGCCATTAACTCTTCTAGGCGATGGCGCATTTAAAATGCAACTTAACAATCTGACAAGACAACAGCATTTATATTCAATTAACACCGCCATCTGTCTACAGAAACGAATGGAAAGAATGGTGGAGTGTACCTTCACGGTATTTCACGTTCAAGGCTAAAAAAACGGTCATTACGCAGTTCATTAAGTAATATTTTTGTTTACTTATTATTAACCATGCCCTTATTTCTGCGGGCAATGTCTTTTTTTGCGACTGACATCACAATAGAAACAATAGTGATGATGGTGGATACAACGTTCAGCGTTCTTCCTCAAAATATCCATGCGCGTCAAAATAGGTTAAGGAGCTGTATATCTTCGATGATAAATTTTTCGCCTTCTGCAGCCTGTGTGTCTCGCTGGTACCTGTTTCAACTTCCTATAAAGTTTCAGAAACCGTCTCGATAAGAAACACAATTATTAACTCCCTGCAATTCTAAATAGTATGCGTCCTTCCAAGAAATTGATAATAAAATGTCCGCGATTTTTCGGGAATTTCCAGAAAATAAATATTTGCAGATAACAGAAAAGCAGTATTGAACTAGTGATATGAAAATACAAACTCAAAATATGAATCGAAATCTGATGTGTGAATTAATGTAGACTAGATAATTTAATCCTACAAATGTACTGAAATTTTTCTACCAGTACAATTTTTTCCACACAGATCGTTATGGATACGAAGTAATAGAATAATTCTCCATCGCCAAAGTAGCTATTTTGACAGGGATTCTGAAATGTTTAGCTGAGGTAACTGACTTTCTCGGCGTTCTTTAATATTTTTTTTTCTTTTATTAAAACTTTGAATAACTATCTAATCCCTCGGATGGAATCTAAATCTTAAATCATAAGTACCCAAGAAAAATTAAATTCATTCTAAAAGGATATCCATTTTGTGCAAAAATGCGGAACGTAAATGATTTTAATCTGTATACCTGAACTCTTTTAGTCATACCAATAACATATTGAATTATTTAGATTCCATCAAAGTACCCGAAGGCTATCTGCCGAAGGTAAAATATGTTTTGTGGAGGACTTCTTTAGGGAAACTGGCTTCTATTCACATTACACATACAGAAAACCACAAACATTCCCATGCGGCTAGTCTGTTCATTGTAATTTAAGCTGAAGGTCGAACATAAATTGTACATAAATACCAAGAACATAAATTGGAAGAGTGAAACCCATGTGCATGTGACAAATTAGGGCTATACATGAATTTCAGAAATAATTAAAATACTGTAGCAGTAAGAAACTTGACGTATTTCCTATAGTCGACTTTTACCCTTTCTAATATCGATAGCATATCGAAATATTATACTGAAAGGAATTTTTTTTCTCCTCCTATCGGTTATTTGCTACAACGTTTCTAAGAAATCACATAGAAAAGAATCTAAATTTACTTATTTCAATGGCTAATACAATTACTCTGGCCCACCAGCGGCCGAGCGGTAAAGTGAACACTGGTAGTTCGGTTCGAATCCCGCGAACGGGCTGGCTGCACAGGCCTTTTCGTGGTTTTCACCATGTGTAACGTGTTAATACGAGCCAGTTTCCCCTAGAAATTCCGCCACGAAGGCAACCCTCTCTTCCGTGCAGTGCCTTAGGGCGAAACACGTAAATAATACAATTACTGTTTTTGGCAAAGGATTGCAGTCTATTTGTTGAACTTAAAGCGCTCGAAAGTCACTATTATAATTCCATTGTTAAAACGTTTCTTACGTTTTTCTGAGTGAAATCGTATAAGTATTCTATAAAATGACTGTTAAAAGATAACGATTAATCCCACGAACGAAAGCCCACCAGCGGCGGCTGAACACTGGTAGTTCAGTCCGGGGTTTGAATCCCGGCGAACGAAATGGCTGTATGGGCATTTTTGTGGTTTTCCACAATGTAAAGTGTACAGAGCCAATTTTCTTCAGAGAGTTTTCCACGAAGGAGTTTTTCCCTTTAGGAAGATGGCTCTCGAGTGATTTGCCATGATCATAGCCCAGACTAAACAACAACAAAAAGACATTTCCTAATGATTCCGAGAGCTAACTAAACGCAAAACGTCATTTCTATCGTACAGTTGTGGACAACAATTTCCACAGTTCACCCAACTTATAAGAGAAACGGATTGAGGTTTATAAAACTTCTCAGAATAATCATATTAAAAAAAATTAATCAATGTAAAAATCAAGGGACAGGTTAATAAATGCACATTAATTTGACGAGTAACAAGAAAAATTCAACTAGGGTTGGCGAGCATTTTAAATGAAGAGATTTAACGCATTTT